ACTTATATCCCTACCCTACCCTAGAGCTAAGCCATGCATGCTTAGACCCCGTCATATACCTGATAGACCCCCCCAGCCTTACCCACGGCTAGGCGGAACTCAGACTAGCCGGAGCAACTTATATCCCTACCCTACCCTAGAGCTAAGCCATGCATGCGTAACCCAGTCATATACCTGATAGACCCCCCCAGCCCAGTATCGTAGTTGTGTGTATATCTGTGTGGCCAGAGGCTATATATCTTTTGTATGGGCCCATAGGGCCATGTTTTTGTGTCTTCCCGAAGGCTATGTGTGCTCTGTGTAACTGTATAGCGAGATATGTGTGCCCGAAGGCCATGTTTTTGTGTCTTCCCAAAGGCTATGTGTGCTCTGTGTAACTGTATAGCGAGATATGTGTGCCCGAAGGCCAGATATGTGCAGTACGATGTAGAGGGAACTATGTGTTCGTTTGAAGAGATGACAGGCCAAGCTGGACAAGAACCCCCCCCAAAGTCCCAAGCCAGACTTGAACCCGTGATCTATGACATGTGACCTGAAGACTCTACCATTTGAGCGACAATCGCAAACGGCCCCTGTGTGTGATATGCCAGACTGGGGAGATCAACAGAACAACGACAAGCAACAGCCACAAGCAACCCACGCAGTATCAAGACCCGATATACAACACCATGGACAATGGGTGGTGCGCAGGCAGTGTCTGTATAAGCTTACCGTGCGTCAGCCCAAGGGGGTGTGTGTCCAGCTGTGCATCATTCTAACGCCCTGCCGGTGTCCATGCACAAGGCTGCAATTGAGTTTTGAACCCGCAACCTTATACCACAATGTGCATTTCCAAACGGTGCTCTAACCACTGAGCTACATCAACTGGATGATTCTCCCTTTCTCTTTCTATCTTCTGCATGCTGGATTGACCAAGGATTGCTCTCTGTAAGAATGATTGACTTCGCTGTGATGAACTTTGTCTCAACTTCGAAAAACAGTATTTCTGCAACTTTAGCGGTGTATTTGCGAGCAATGCCGAGCATACCTGCGCGGACCGGTAAAGTTGCAATTTGCCCCGTTGTATTCGTTTACAACACACACGTTATGCTAGAGGGAAGACGTGTGTAGAGGGAAGACTTTCCAGCAGGTGCTGCTCCCCACCAAGAGATGGAGCCTCCCCGACAGTGCTAGTGCCTAGTGGTGCCTGCTCTTATCAGCACCTCTAGCACCTACAGCATCATACATATGAGAACTATCAATCGCACATCAGATAGTTCTCATCACACTGCGAACACCCAATAATCACCCCTTAGCCAAGTTAGCCTTCCTGGCGATCCCCTCTCCACCTGGGTTGCCTGCTTACCTTCGCCCTCCTCACGACACACTCCCTACGGCCTCTCGCTTAGCAGACCGCATGCATGTACCGCATAGGCAGAAGACAAGTGCTAGATGAGCGCACCGTACCACAGCTCCGATACCAAATTGCAAGGAAAATGAGCGATAGCGAACTCCAGAAACCAAACAGCATCATACACATGAGACCAGATAGTTGTGACCTCGAACCAAAAGCAGAATTGCATCACGAGTCCCACCAAATAAGAGCACAGCAAAAGCTCATAAGTGACACTGTGGCAATGTTCGAATAGTCTCATCATCATCAACAAAGAACCAATGTCGACATCCTATCTGGCGCTCGGCACCCAGACTACAAATGGCAGATCCTATCTAGCCTATCTACAATGCCGCTGATGACGTCAACAGCTCCCCGAAGTACGAGCAGATCTCGGCCAATGTCGTTCGCCTCAAGCACCAGGTATATCTCTCGCCTCACTCATAAACTCAATCCCCAACTCACCGATGCCACATGCACCCAAGGACCACCATGCGCCCCATCCAGCATACAGCAGCGCAGCTCGGCTATGGCTGCCTGCTCCTTCCAGCTCGCCCGTGAGCGCGTGAGCGCTGGCCAGCATTAGCGCAGCAGCGCTTGCACAGCATGCAGCCAGTGCCCGAATGCCGAATGTGTGGGCAGCTGTGTATACGCCCGTAGGTATACGGGCCGTACGTACTCCCGTACACCGTACGTACGGGGACCCAGGGGCCCGTACGGGCCGTACGTACGGACTTCCGTACGTTCGTACGCGGTCTTGGAGGGGGGGGTCGACCCCGGTTTTCAGGTGGGTGGGTGTCGGGTGTCGTCGGGAGTCCATCTGCACAAAAAAAAAAAAAGAATTTTTCCA